TTGTGCCACTAAGACTGAGTGTTTGCATTGGTTGCTTTGGATTCACTAGGTATAGAGGAGAGAGTGGTTGATGTTGGAAATAAATTTAGTAGACCTTAATTACAAATCCTTTGAAGATAGATGACAAAAGTGAGATGGGTTTTCAGGGTTGGAATCCTTAACCATTCCTCTTCATCAACTTAATTTACAACAAAACCAAGTATCCATCAGCATATGAGGATACCAGAATCTAATTTCTGTCCTGATAAAGCATTCTGATGGCCAGGTGTGGTGGTTCAGGCCTGCAATCCTGGCACTATGGGAGACTGAGGCAGATGGATTTCTTGAGCTCAGGAGTTCAAGGCCAACCTGGGCAACAGGGTGAAACCCCTATCTACAAAACAGACAAACATTAGCCCGGTGTGGTGGCGCATACCTAGTCCCAGCTACTTGGGAGGCTGCAGCGGGAGGATGGCCTGAGCCTGGGAAGTCGAGGCTGCAGTGAGCTGTAATCACACCACTGTACTCCAGCCTGGGCAACAGAGCAAGCAAAACCCTGTCTTTAAAAAACAAAAACAAAACAAAAAATTCTGATAAATGCCCATTTCCGCAGAAAATTTAAGTAATTGTGAAAACCTTTAAAAAGGCCCCTGTGATTCCCACCTGTTGGTATTCATATAATCTATTTGCCTTCAGTGTGGGCTGAACTTTCTTCTGTTAGAAAAGGGCAGAAGCAATGGGATATCACTTCTGAGACAGTTACAAATGGTCTGGCTTCTGCCTGTGCACACTACCTTCCTCTCCTTTCAAAACCTTGTCCTAGGAAACAAGCTGCCATATGAGTAACCCTAAGCAGAGGCTAACAGCCAGCAAAGAACTGAGACCCTCCATCCCAACAAACTGAAAAACAATCCTGCCAACCACCACTGAGCTTGGAAGTGGATCCAACACAATTGCAGCTTGTGAGAAACCCTGAGGCAAAAACACTTAGCTAAACCTTGTCAGGATTCCTAATCCACAGAAACTGAGATATGTATGTTGTTTTAAGCCACTGCATTCTGGAGTAATTTGTTAAGCATCTGTAGGTAACAGGATCATCAGGTCATGAACACTGAGGATATTCTTCAGGTTCATGTTTCACCTGTAAATGACTGGCCCTTCCTATTTCGACCATATCTACTCAGGGCTGTCAGTGAAGCCTGAGCACCATAACTGACTCTACAGAATAGCCCAAAGCAGAGAGAGGCAAGCCAGAAGTGAGAAAATAATAAAGTTGGCCGGGCACGGTGGCTTACGCCTGTAATCCCAGCACTTTGGGAGGCCGAGGCGGGTGGTTCACGAAGTCAGGAGTTCAAGATCAGCCTGGCCAAGATGGTGAAACCCTGTCTCTACTAAAAATATAAAAAATTAGCCAGGCGTGGTGGAACGTGCCTGTAATCCCAGCTACTCCGGAGGCTGAGGTAGAGAATTGCTTAAACCTGGAGGGGTGGAGGTTGCAGTGAGCCGAGATCGCACCACTGCACTCCAGCCTGGGTGACAGAGCAAGACTCCGTCTCAAAAAAAAATAAAGAATAAGGTTGACTTGATAAGAGGAGTGCTAACATTATTGATTTTTCTTTGGTTTTTTTTGTTTGTTTGTTTTATTTTTTGAGACGGAGTCTCGCTCCGTCGCCCAGGCTGGAGTGCAGTGGCACAATCTTGGCTCACTGCAACCTCTGCCTCCCAGGTTCAAGCAATTGTCCTGCCTCAGCCTCCGGAGTAGCTGCAATTACAGGCACCCACGACCATGCCCAGCTAATTTTCGTATATTTAGTAGAGACAGGGTTTTACCATGTTGGCCAGGCTGGTCTCAAACTCCTGACCTCAGGTGATCCACCTGCCCTGGCCTCCCGAAATAACTTTTATTTTATATGCTTTCAAAGATTAATGAGATTTGAGATGGCTTTAAGAATTTAAAGATAAAGCCCCTGAAAAGAGCTGATACAACATTAGCTACATGTATGAACCAAAATCATTGTGGTTACTAGACTGAATTCTGAGTTTCTTTGAAGATAAAGCACAATATGAAATACTGAGTCATTTGACTCATAAAAAGATTTGCAGGTCCCTCCCCAGCACTGGTCATTAGTGAACATCAGCTCCTACTTTGGTGAAACTCACTGTTCTGGCGGGAGCAAGGTGGGATACAGGCAGATGCACCTTAAGTCCTCTAGCAGCTTCTGCGGACCACTAAAGTTGCCGTTTCAGTGACATATTTTGAGAATAGACTTTTTTTTTGAGACACGGTCTTGCTCTGTTGCCCAGGCTGGAGTGCAGTGGCACAATCATGGCTCACTGCAGCTTCAACCTTCCAGGCTCAAGTGATCCTCCCACCTCAGCCTCCCAAGTAGCTGGGATTACAGGCGTGCGCCACCAGGCCCAGCTAATTTTTGAAATTTTTGTAGAGATGGGTTTTTGCCATGTTGCCCATGCTAGTCTTGAACTCCTGGTCTCAAGTGATCCTCCCACCTCAGCCTCCCAAAGGGCTGGGATTACAGGCGTGAGCCACTACGCCTGGCCAAGGATAGACTTCTGGAAATTTTTTTGTACCTCTTCAAAAAGTAAATTATGATATAAACAAACAAATAGAAAAGTCACTAAACTACAGAATTTGTCAAATTTTGTCATTCATCAAGCCTGCATAAAGTAGATACCCAACTGTGAATTTTTTTTTTTTTTTTTTTTTGACACAGAGTTTCACTCTTGCTGCCCAGGCTGGAGTGCAATGGCACGATCTCAGCTCACTGAAACCTCCGCCTCCTGGGTTCAAGCCATTCTCCTGCCTCAGCCTCCCGAGTAGCTGGGATTACAGGCATGTGCCACCACGCCCAGCTAATTTTGTATTTTTAGTAGAGATGGGGTCTCACCATTTTGGTCAGGCTGGTCACAACTCCCAACCTCAGGTGATCCACCCACCTTGGCTTCCCAAAGTGCTGGGATTACAGGCGTGAGCCACAGTGCCTGGCCGACTGTGAATTAATTTTATCAATAAAAGAAAATATGAATGTCCAGGCTGGGCAACATGGTGATACCCTGTGTCTACAAAAACTAAAGATTAGGCAAATGTGGTGGTACATACCTGTGGTCCTGGCTACTTGGGAAGCTAAGGCAGGAGGATTGCTTGAGCTCAGGAGACTGAGGCTTCGGTGAGCCATGTTCACTCCACTGCACTCAAAACATACATACAGGCTGGGCATGGTGGCTCATACCTGTAATCCCAGCACTTTGGGAGGCCGAGGATTTTATACACACACACACACACACACACACACACACACATACACACACACAAATTTGGTTGCGTGTGGTGACTCATGCCTGTAATCCCAGCACTTTGGGATGCCAAGGCGGGTAGATCACTTGAGGTCAGGAGTTGGAGATCAGCCTGGCCAACATGGTGAAACCCCGTCTCTACTAAAAATACAAAATTAGGCTGGGTACGGTGGCTCACGCCTGTAATTCTAGCACTTTGGGAGGCCAAGGTGGGTGGATCACAAGGTCAGGAGACCAAGATCATCCTGGCTAACATGGTGAAGCCCCATCTCTACTAAAAATACAAAAAATTAGCCGGGTGTAGTAGTGGGTACCTGTAGTCCTAGCAACTCAGGAGGCTGAGGCAGGAGAATGGCGTGAACCTGGGAGGCAGAGCTTGCAGTGAGCCGAGATCATACCACCACACTCCAGCCTGGGTGGCAGAGCAACACTCCATCTCAAAAAAAAAAAAAAAAAAAAAAATTAGCCGGGCGTGGTAGCACACGCCTGTAATCCCAGCTACTCGGGAGGCTGAGACAGGAGAATTGCTTGAACCTAGGAAAGAGAGGTTGCAGTGAGCCGAGATCGTGCCATTGTACTCCAGCCTGGGCGAGAAAGCGAGACTTTGTCTCAATACTCGGGAGGCTGAGGCAGGAGAATTGCTTGAACCTGGGAGGCAGAGGTTGCAGTGAGCTGAGATCGTGCCGTTGCACTCCAGCCTGGGCAACAAGAGCGAGACTTCATCTTAAAAAAAATAAAAATAAATTTTATATATATATACACACACACACACACACACACACACACAAATGTGATCATTCTCATAAACTAGCTGCCATGGACCAAGTGACAAGATCAAATCCCATTATGGAAGTTCCCACCACCAATTACTGTGACAACACTGGGATACTCATTCCTAGTGACAGAGCAGGTTGTCACAGTGCATTGGCCAAACACAACTGACAGCCAAAGATAGAAAAACTTTCTGTATCACTGATCGGTTGATCAAGCAACAAGATTCATCTGTTCAGCTCTTTACCCACACTTCACCTATGAGAGAACAGCACACCCAGGTAGTTTCTTTACCAACTAAATGGACAAGGACCAGAAAAAACACCTTTTCCTCAGAATCATTCACTGCAGACAATCAACAAAACCCTGTTTTTATGCACCACTCCCCAGGAAGGGGACAGCCTGGAGAATCCATTTCTGTCTTGGCTTTTGCTACAATGAACTATTACCTAAATTGAATTCCCCTTTGGAGGCCAACTGAAGAGTCACCATTTAGTAGCTGGTCCTCCATATCTGTGGGTTCCGCTTACCAGAGTCAATCAACCACAGATGTAAAATATTCAGGAAGAAAAGCCAGTAAAGAATAACAATACAGGCCTGGCACGGTGGTTCACACCTGTAAACCTAGCACTTTGGGAGGCCGACGCAGGCAGATCAGTTCCAGACCAGCCTGGCCAACATGGTGAAACCCCATCTCTACTAAAAATACAAAACTTAGCCAGGCATGGTGGCAGGTGCCTGTAATCCCAGCTACTCAGGAGGCTGAGGCAGGAGAATTGCTTGAACCCAGGAGGCGGAGGTTGCAGTGAGCCGAGATCATGCCACTGCACTCCAGCCTGGGCGATAGGACGAGACTCTGTCTCAAAAAAAAAAAAAATTAGCCAGGTATGGTGGCACATGCCTGTATTCCCAGCTATTCAGGAGGCTGTGACGGGAGAATCGCTTGAACTTGGGAGGCAGAGGTTGCAGTGAGCTGAGATGGCGCCTTTGCATCCCAGTCTCAGCAAGAGGGTGAGACTCTGTCTCAAAAATAAATAAATAACAATACAACAACAAATACAAATTAAAAGCCACACAGTACAAGTATTTACATAGCATTTACATTGTATTAGGTATTATAAGTAATCTAGAGATGATTTAAAGTATACAGGAGGATGTGCATAGGTTATATGCAAATACTACGCCATTTTTAGCTGAGGACTTGGGCATCCATGTATTTTGGCATCTGCAGGCGATCCTGGAACCAATTCCCCTATAGATGACGATATGCCAAATCCAAAGTTTTTGAAAAAAAAAGTAATCTATTCCTATAACAAATTACTTGAACATAAGTAACACATTTCTGAAGCTGGTAGCCAGTTCTGGTTGAGTCAGTGTGGGCACCATAGGGAAATGTGATATTTGGTTCCTGGGAGGAAAAATGTCAAATTAGTCTCCAGAGATTTTAGATCCTATCACCCACTCTAAATAAAACTTCCTGGTGGATGTTAAAGGATTCAGGTTCTGATGGCCCCTCCATTCCTTACCCCCCTCTGAGCAGCAATAAGAAAACAAAATATGAGAAGGGAGAAGCAAAAGACCCCCTACACCTTACCCTAAAATGACCCAGCACATGTCCAGCCACCTCTTCAGTAGCCGTCTTAGAGCTGGTTGGGCATTTGTGTGTGTGTGTGTGTGTGTGTGTGTGTGCACGCTATCAGACACAGACCTGGAAGGGAAGGTCCCTAGAGATGGACCCATTTAGCCCTCTCGCTTTACAGAGGAGAGGCCTCAGGAAGGTGAAGCGATTTGCTGCTGTGTGGAGCTAAGAAGAGGACTTGGATCTCATCCCCAGCAAGTGAGCACTCCCCGCACTGCTCAGCCTCTGAATATCTTTGAAGTGGGTAATTGCAGTTCTGCTTCCCTGGAAAGAGTACAGTAGGAGGTCTTGTCTCAAGAGACTGTCCGGTTTTAGTGTTATAATAAAAGGCTTAAGGCGTCAGACCTATAGCAGCCAGGAACAAGGAAACTTGGAAGAACAAGTTCTTATCTCTGAAGAATTTGATTCCCTAGTTTTCCATTGTCTGGGAAATAGATGACCTGTGGTATAAGAACAAAAGATTGCAAGAGTTTAAAATCAGACATTTTAAAAACCAATATAGGCTGCGTGAGGTGACTCACGCCTGTAATCCCAGCACTTTGGGAGGCCAAGCCGGGTGGATCACTTGAGGTCAGGAGTTCGAGGCCAGCCTGGCCAACATGGTGAAACCCTGTCTCTCTTAAAAATACAAAAAATTAGCCAGGCATGGTGGCACATGCCTGTAGTCACAGCTACTTGGGAGGCTGAGGCAGGCTGGGTGACAGAACAAGACCCTGTCTCAAAAAAAAAAAAAAAAATTGTTGCACACTAGTGCTGTGGAGTTTCTGGCTTTGAAAAACCTAAATTAAAAACATGGCAAAGGCTGGGCGCGGTGGCTCAAGCCTGTAATCCCAGCACTTTGGGAGGCCGAGACGGGCAGATCACGAGGTCAGGAGATCGAGACCATCCTGGCTAACCCGGTGAAACCCCGTCTCTACTAAAAAATACAAAAAACTAGCCGGGCGAGGTGGCGGGTGCCTGTAGTCCCAGCTACTCGGGAGGCTGAGGCAGGAGAATGGCATAAAGCCAGGAGGCGGAGCTTGCAGTGAGCTGAGATCCGGCCACTGCACTCCAGCCTGGGCGACAGAGCGAGACTCTGTCTCAAAAAAAAAAAAAAGGCAAAAACATAAAAAAAGGAGCCACGCATGGTGGCTCACTCCTGTAATCCCAGTGCTTTGGGAGGCTGTGGCGGGCAGATCCCCTGAGGTCGGGAGTTTGAGACCAGCCTGACCAACATGGAGAAACCCCATCTCTACTAAAAATACAAAATTCGCTGGGTGTGGTGGTGCACGCCTGTAATCCCAGCTACTTGGGAGACTGAGGCAGGACAATTGCTTGAACCCGGGAGGCGGAGGTTGCCATGAGCCAAGATCGTGCCATTGCACTCCAGCCTGGACAACAAGAGTGAAACTCCGTGTCAAAAAAAAAAAAAAATCCACAAAACACACACACCCACACACACATACACACACACCCCAAGGTTATGCTCTAATGCTTTTTTATTCAAAGTGTGATTCTTGTTTGAGCAGCCCGTCACCCAAAAACTGGTTAGAAATGCAGGATCTATGGCCCCAGACCCACCCAACCAACTGAATCAGAATCTGCAATTTTTTTTTTTTTTTTTTTGAGATGGAGTCTCGCTCTGTTGCCCAGGCTGGAGTCCAGTGACGGGATCTCAGCTCACCGCAACCACCACCTCCCAGGTTCAAGTGATTCTCCTCCCTCAGCCTCCCGAGTAGCTGGGATTACAGGTGCACGCCACCACACCCAGCTAATTTTTGTATTTTTGGTAGAGACGGGGTTTCCCGATGTCGGCCAGGCTGGTCTCCAACTCCTGACCTCAGGTGATCCGCCTGCCTCAGTCTCCCAAAGTGCTGGGATTATAGGCGTGAGCCACTGCGCCCAGCAGAATCTGCATTTTAACAAGATCCCCAGATGACTGTATGCACACTGAAGTGTGAGAATCATGCTCTAATAAGTGCGGGAGGTGGAGGTGACAATTTTATGTATGATTATTTTTAAAATATATGTGGTCAAGAATTGGAAGGTACTTGGCAAAAATAAAAACAGCTTAAATGGAGGTAAACCCTCTTTCCCACACAAAGTGCCTGGCCAGCTGTAGGTCCTCAAGGCAGCTGTTAGGGAGGCAACACTGTTGTGAGGGTTTCTTTTTCTTTTTTTAAATGCATTCCTGAATGTTCTTGTTAAATCACATTTAACAAATGTTTGGAAACTTAAAAGATGAATGAACATGTTGCACTTCTTTTTAAACCAGACATTAAAACTGGTTAACTTACTGTTTTCCTTTTTGCCTCAGCTATCAGGAATCAGAGTTAAATTTAATACTCAAGACAGTAATACTATTAGCCTAGTTTTTTGAATATTTTTCTCTCTATGACTTTTATTTTCTATTTTATTAGGTTTTCTAGTATGTTTCTTACAAATCACTTAAAAATTCTTTTTGAAAATAAGGGTCCAAATTATAATTATGACTTCTAAAAACAGCCTGTTCTTGTGTGCCAGGCTCCACAAAACATAAATTTGTGAAACTAACTACCTGCCTGTTTTAAATTATTTCTTATTCCCCTGATCATTTTTCACCTCTCAAGACACAAGTAAAGCCAGACGCGGTGGCTCATGCCTGTAATTCCAGCACGTTGGGAGGTGGAGGCGGACAGATCACCTGAGGTCAGGAGTTCAAGACCAGCCTGGCTAACACGGTGAAACCCCGTTTCTACTAAAAGTACAAAATATTAGCCAGGCATTGGGGCACGCGCCTGTAATCCCAGCTACTTGGGAGGCTGAGGCAGGGGAATGGCTTGAACCTGGGAGGTGGAGGCTGCAATGAGCCAAGATCACGCCATTGCATTCCAGCTTGGGCAACAAGAGCAAAACTCCATCTCAAAAAAAAAAAAAAAGACACAAGTAAAACTAAAGGTTTCCTGTTTGCTCCACAGTAAAGGTCTCAGAGGCCAAATAGCTCCTGCCCCAGTGGGGTGTTGTTTCTCTCTACCCAGGCAGCATCACAGCCTTACAGCCCAGTCCCTAGTGTCACGCTGCCTGAGGATTCGGTAAGGAAGCAGAGAACCCCAGCCCTTCTAAGGACACGCAGACCACCCTCCCATAGAATTACTCACCGACCCTTCAGCTGCTTCACACCTCCTCTGTAATGAAGGAGAGAACAGTATATGTTACTACCAAGCCTCGTTTTTAGGATAATTTCCTGCACACTACTCCGTCTCCAAACTCCATCAGATTCCTCTTACTCACTCTCAAGAAAGCTTGCACTTTTTTGTCATGTCATTTATCAGCTTGTAACTGTATTGCATGATTCTCCCTTACCAGACCATAAGCTCCAATTGAGATTGCCCTTAACCACTGTACTTCCAGTGCCTAAAGGCATTGTTCAGCAACTAGGGCACATTAGCTGTTATCGGTTGGGCAGATGGGTGATGTAAAAAACGAATATGGCCCGATGCAGTGGCTCACACCTGTAATCCCAGCACTTTGGGAGGCTGAGGAGGGTGGATCACTTGAGGCCAGGAGTTCGAGACCAGCCTGGCCAACATGGTAAAACCCCATCTCTACTAAAAATACAAAAAATTAGCCAGACATGGTGGCAAGTGCCTGTAATCCCAGCTGCTTGGAAGGCTGAGGCAGGAGAATCGCTTGAACCCGAGAGGCAGAGGTTGCAGTGACCCCAGATCATGCCACTGCACTCTAGCCTGGGTGATGACAGAGCAAGACTTTGTCTCAAAGAAAAAAAAAAAAAAAGGTGAAAATACTGGAAAGACAGAAAGGAGAGAGAACTATCAGACTTGCTACTGTGGCATCAAAAAAATAAATAAATAAGGGAGAACTAATTTATTAATCACTTGCAATGTGCAGGCATTGTTAGTGCTGTATATACGCTATGGGATCCTCAGCACAATCCCCCCTTTTTTTTAAAATTAATATAATTCACTAACAAGCTGGGTGCAGTGGCTCACGCCTGTAATCCCAACACTTTGGGAGGCCAAGGTGGGCACCAGGAGTTTGAGACCAGCCTGGGCAACATGGTGGAACTCCGTCTCTACAAAATTTTTTTTAGAAAAAGCGAAGTGTGGTGGTGTGGGCCTGTAGTCCTAGCTATTTGGGAGGCTAAGATGGGAGGATCACTTGAGCCCAGGAGGTGAAGGTTGCAGTGAGCTGCAGTGAGCTGAGATCGTGCCACTGCACTCCAGCCTGGGTGACAGGGCCAGAATCTGTCTCAGAAAAAAAATATATATATATATATATATATATATATATATATTTATTTCACCAACATAAAATTCACCCATTTAAGGTATACAATTCAGTGGTTTTTAGTATATTCACTAGATTGTGCAGCTATCATCACTAATTCTAAAACATTTTCATCACCCCAAAAAGAACCCTGTGCCCATTAGCAGTCACTCTTGTTTCCTCTCCTTCCTAGCCACCTCCTAATCTGCTTTCTGTCTCTATGGATGCCTATTTTGAATATTTTATAGAAATTGAATCACATATGTACAAATGGAAGCCAGTCTTTTGTGTCTGGTTCCTTTCATTTAACATGTTTTCAAGGTTCATCCACATGGTAGCAATTCTTACTACTTCATCCCTTTTTATGGCTGGATAATATTTCATTGCACGGATATACACATTTTGTTTATCTGTTCATCAGGAGATGGACATATATATGAGTTGTTTCCATTTTTTGGCTATTATGCTGCTATGAACATTTGTGTATAAGGTTTTATGTGAACATTTGTTTTTAATTTTCTTGTGTATGTACCCAATAGTGGAATTACTGGGTCATATGGTAACTCTATGATTAACCATTTGAGGAACTGTCAGGCTGCTTTCTGCAGCAGTTGCAACATTTTAGATTTGCGTTAGCAGTGAATGAGGGTTCTAATTTCTCCACTTGCTCACCAACACTTGTTATTATTCACCTTTTTTATTATAATCATCTTAGTGGGTGTGAAATTGTATCTCAATGTGGATTTGACTGGCATTTTTCTAATGACTAATGATGTTGAGCATCTTTTGGTGTGCTAATTGGCCATCTGTATATCTTCTTTGGAGAAGTATCTATTCAAATCCCTTGCCCTTTTTTCTTTTTTTTTTTTTTAAGATGGAGTCTCACTCTGTCACCCAGGCTGGAGTGCAGTGGTGCGAACTTGGCTCACTGCAAGTTCTGCCTCCCGGATTCACGCCATTCTCCTGTCTCAGCCTCCCGAGTAGCTGGGACTACAGGCACCTGCCACACGCCTAGCTAATTTTTTGTATTTTTAGTGGAGAGAGGGTTTCACCATGTTAGCTAGGATAGTCTCGATCTCCTGACCTCATGATCTGCCCATCTTGGCCTCCCAAAATGCTGGGATTACAGGCGTGAGCCACTGTGCCCAGCATCCCTTGCCCATTTTAAGCATTGGGTAGTCTTTTTATTATTGTGTTGTAGGAGTTCTTAATATATTCTGGATTCTAGATCTTATCCAATTATAATTTGCAAATATTTTCTTCCATTCTGTGGGTTGTCCTTTTACTTTCTTAATGGTGTCTTTTTAAACAAAAAAAAATTAAATTTGATGAAAGCCAATTTACCTATTTTTTTCTTTGGTTGCTTGTGCATTAGGTGTCATATCTAAGAAGCTATTGCCTAATCCAAGTTCACAAAGATTTACAACTATATTTTCTTTTAAGATTTTTATAGTTTTATATCTTGCATTTAGGTCTTTAATTTGTATATATGGTGTGAGGTAGGGGTTCAATTTCATTCTTTCATATATAGATATCTGATTGTTCCAGCATCATTTGTTGGAAAGACTATTCTTTCCCCTATTAAATAGTCTTGACATCCTTGTTGAAAATCAATTGGCCATAAATGTTTGGGTTTATTTCTTTTTTCCCTTTTTTTTTTTTTTTTTTTTTGAAGATGGAGTCTTGCTCTGTCGCCCAGGCTGGAGTGCAGTGGCACAATCTCGGCTCACTGCAAGCTCCACCTCCTGGGTTCACGCCATTCTCCTGCCTCAGCCTCCCAAGTAGCTTGGATTACAGGTGTACACCACCACGCCTAGCTAATTTTTGTATTTTTAGTAGAGATGGGGTTGCGCCATGTTGGCCAGGCTGGTCTCCAACTCCTGACCTCAAGTGATCTGCCCACCTTGGCCCCCCGAAAATGCTGGGGTTACAGGCATAGGCCTCTGCACCCAGCCCTACTATTTCATTTTTTTTCTTCCCTTTATAGAATCCGCAAGGGATCCAGGCCCTAGGTGTTTCCCTGGCCCAGGAACTATGGAATCTACCCTACTGTGATGGGAAGAAATCTCCCTCTTCTCTCCTCCTTGGCCCAGCTCTTTCTAGTAATTTGTTTTCTTTTTCGTTTTTTTGAGACAGAGTCTCACTCTGTCATCCAGGCTGGAGTGCAGTGGCATGATCTCAGCTCACTTCAACCTCTGCCTCCCAGGTTCAAGAGATTCTCCTGCCTCAGCCTCCCGAGTAGCTGGGACTACAGCTGCAAGCCACCACACCCAGCTATTTTGTATTTTTAGTAGAGATGGGGTTTCACCATGTTGGCCAGGATGGTCTTGATCTCTTGACCTCATGATCTGCCCACCTTGGCCTCCCAAAGTCCTGGGATTACAGGCATGAGCCACCGCACTTGGCCTGTTTACATCTTTAACCACATAACAGGTGGGTTATCCTTGTCCCACTCCCAAAGAAGGAAGAAATGTTTCCTATCACTTCTTTATGGAGAAGTGGGCCCCAGTCTTGGCCAGAGAGGACCTGAGTTCTGGGCTCTTCTTTGCCATTGCCTTTCTGGGAACTTCTGAGTTACTCTCCCTTTGGGGCTTCAAGTTCCTCATGTGGGAAGAGTCCTTGGTTATAGTGGACAGAGGAGTTTGGCTGCTTCTTCTAGTCCAAGGGCTAATGTGAAGACAGCTATAGGGAAAAGAGACTGGAGAGGTCCCTGAGATGTAACAGGTCCCCAGTGATGGCCACCTGCTGAGACCAGGCATTTGGGGATCCACAGGGGTGCAAGACAGTCCTTGCCCTTGACTCAGGGAAGAAATTAATGCTCTGAAAAAGTTAGCCTCTCAAAATGGGCAGGGGAAGAGCCCAATAAGAAACAGAAGTGAAAAGCACCCTAGGAAGAAGGGAGGTAATGGGAAGCAGTCAGGGAGGGCTTCCTGGAGGGTCTGCTTGGGCCTCGAGGATCAGCTACAGCTAACTTTTATGACTGACAGGTAGGATTTGGATGTGAGGGAATTGAAACAGGATGAACATTATGAGAATCCCAAGGCTGCTGTTCCTCCAGGGATCTTGGGCTCCCACCAGCTGCACTCCAGGAGCTGTCACTTCTGCACCCTCATTGATCTGTTCTAAAGGTCTCTGCCTTCCTACTTCCTCCCCAGCAACTCATCCCCCTGTTGTTCTCCTCTCCACCGAGCAAGCTCCCAGGAATATTACTTCGAGACCCAGCCTCAGTGCCTCCTTCTAGGGCAGACCACACTTAGCCCCCAAGGCTAGATTGCAGCTCTCTCCCCTATAGTCTCTGAGAGTGTAGAGGGGTGAGGGGGACATTCCTTTATCACAGATCACCTTATCACCTGCTAGCTTGCAACCCTCCACTGGCCTTTGATTTCAGGGAGGACATGGGCTGTGTCTGATTGTCCCCATCCCTTGGCCAGGGACCAAGCCTTAGAGAACTGGCTAAGATGAACCCCTACCCACATCCCAGGTTCTCCAGACAGGGGACACCATTGTGGAGTTGGGGGATTACCAGTTCCATCTGCCTTGTAGTCATCAGGGAGGAGCTTGTCCTGCCGGTAGCCCAACACGAAGGCCAGGAAGGAGAGGATGAGGGCATCGCCAATGCTGAGGATGGCCAGCATGAAGGCCCAGCGGATGGTGCAGTGACCCAGCGTGTACTTGCCCGTCTGCTCCCCACACATGCGCCGTACCTCACTTGAGTCCCAGCCGTCAGGGTAGACCAGGCAGCCAATCATTAGACCTGTGGCTGAGGGAGAAGGAGGGGTGCAGATGGCATCAGGCTGAGTGTGCCCAGTCCACTACCTCCCACTTTGCACTGCTGTTATATTGTCACCTCCCTTCTCCTTCTGTTAACAGCCTCTGGAGGCATGAGAGGTAGCTTCTACCATCCTTCTTGCAGAACGCAGGTGAGAAAACTGAGGCTCTGAGAGTTAAAGCAACTGGCCCCTGAGACCCAGCAGTTGGGGCAGAGGCAGAGAGGTGAACTCCTCAGCCCAGGCAGGCTCTGCCACCACACCGGGTGGTCCTCCCAGGCCCTCAGCCATTCTCCTCACCTTGAACTCAACAACGTACCACCTGCCCTAGCTTCAAAGCCCTCCAGTATCTGGTCCCAGCCCAAAGACCTCATCACTGCTGAGATGCACATTTCTTCATACTTACAACATCTGTGAAATAAGTGTAATAAGAAAGTGTCGGCCAAGCACACTGGCTCACGCCTGTAATCCCAGCACTTTGGGAGGCTGAGGCGGTTGGATCACCCGAGGTCGGGAGTTGGAGACCAGCCTGACCAACATGGAGAAACCCCATCTCTACTAAAAATACAAAATTAGCCCGCCGTGGTGGTGCATGCCTGTAATCCCAGCTACTCAGGAGGCTGAGGCAGGAGAATTGCTTGAACCCGGGAGGTGGAGGTTGCAGTGAGCTGAGATCGCGCCATTGCACTCCAACCTGGGCAACAAGAGCGAAACTCCATCTCAAAAAAAAAAAAAAGAAAGTGTCTAGGCTGGGCGCGGTGGCTCACACCTGTAATCCCAGCACTTTAGGAGGTCGCAGCGGGCAGATCACCTGAGGTTGGGAGTTTGAGACCAGCCTGACCAACATGGAGAAACCCCGTCTCAACTAAAAATACAAAATTAGCTGGGTGTGGTAGTGCATGCTTGTGATCCCAGCTACTGGGGAGGCTGAGGCAGAAGAATCACTTAAACCCTGGAGGCAGAGGTTGTGGTGAGCCGAGATCACGCCATTGCACTCCAACCTGGGCAACAAGAACAAAACTCCATCTCAAAAAAAAGAAAAAGAAAAAGAAAAAGAAAGTGTCAAGCCGTGGTTGGATTATCAGTATTTTTTGTTTTTATAGTACATAGAATAACACTGTGTCCTAAAACTCAGGTATCTTAAATTTGATGAATACAGGAAAGCTTTCCAGACTGTCCCTGGCTGCTTCCTTCAAAAGTCTTCCATTCAAGCAAACAGGTTTCCTCCTCACTCTTACCCAGTACAGCATAGTCCAGTTGCTACACGTCCCTAAATTTAAGAATCCCTTGGAGGCTGAGTGCAGTGGCTCATACCTGTAATTCCAGCACTTTGGGAGACTGAGGCGGGTGGATCACCTGAGGTTGGGAGCTTGAGACCAGCCTGACCAACATGGAGAAACCCCGTCTCTACTAAAAATACAAAAATTAGCCAGGTGTGGTGGCACGTGCCTGTAATGCTAGCTGCTTGGGAGGCTGAAGGAGGAGAATCGCTTGAACCCAGGAGGCAGAGGTTGCAGTGAGTCGAGATTGTGCCATTGCACTCCAGCCTGGGCAATAAGAGTGAAACTACATTTCAAAAAAAAAAAAAAGAATCCCGTGGAATCTTTAACGTTGGTTCCTTCACCTATAACCTATGCACAAAAAAATAAGGTAAAAAGCTAGTTCCTAGGTCATGGTTGGGTTCAATAATCTCTGTTTTCAAAAACACTCTTCCAGGTGATTTTCTCAGTAGGAAAAGCTGATAAACACTAGACTAGGCTGCCTGGATTTCAAGCCCAGCTCTGTACTACCTAGCTATGTGACTCAGAGCAAGTGACTTAAGCTTTCTTTTTTTTTTTTTTCCTTTGAGACAGAGTCTGTCTCTGTTGCCTAGGCTGGCGTGCAGTGGCACGATCTCAGCTCACTGCAAACTTCGCCTCCCGGATCCAAGTGATCCCCCTGCCTCACCCTCCCGAGTAGCTGGGATTACAGGCATGTACCACTGCGCCCAGCTAATTTTTGTATTTTTAGTAGAGACAGGGTTTCACCACGTTGGCCAGGCTGGTCTTGAACTCCTGGGTTCAAGTGATCCACCCACCTCGGCCTCCCAAAGTGCTGGGATTACAGGCATGAGCCACCGTGTCCAGCCATACTTAAGATTTCTTTGCCTCAGTTCCTCATCTATAAAACGGAGATAATAATAACCCCAACCTTCCTGTTGTGGTTACAGCAAGGTTCAAATGAGTTAATACTGGAAAAGAGTGTAGAACACTGGCACAGACTTGGCCCTCCATAAGAGTTGACTGTGAGAGTTATTATCCCACTCTGTGCCTTCCTTGACTTAGTATTTACAGCTAAAAATTCTGTTGCTCCCACTTTCCCCCCACTTCTTCCATCCCTTTCCATCAAACTACTCCCTCAACTTAGTTTCGCTGGGGTGAAGCACAGACAGGTGACATAATCCAGGATGCAACTGGGGCAGCCCCAGGCACAGCTGCCCCACGGGCAGGGGGTGCTCCCCTTATCTGTGCCGCTTTCCCACAGGTCTGGAGGCTCTCTAGTCCCAAGGTTGTACCCTACTCAGAAGCCCCTCAGAGAAGCACCTCTTCGGGCCCAAAGTTACCTTCCCTGTACCCAGCTTGTTCTGCAAAAAAGGTCAGGAGGTCAAACAAATGCACAGTAAATGGAAATATCAGGATCCCACCTCCCCACCTAAATGTAACACGCTTCCTCCAATTTTTTTTTTTTTTTTTTTTAGGAGAAGCTTATTTAGATAGTTCTTTATAGATCACAAAATACTTCATGTACCATCTTGACTGTGACCACTGTTCTGTGAAGTGGGCCAGCTATTAATATCCTCATTTTACAGATTAGAAAACTGAGGGCTTGGCCAGGCGCGGTGGCTCACACCTGTAATCCCAGCACTTTGGGAGGCTGAGGTGGGCAGATCATGAGGTCAGAAGATTGAGACCATCCTGGCTAACACAGTGAAACCCCATCTCTACTAAAAATTACAAAAACATTAGCCTGTACTCCCAGCTACTCTGGAGGCTGAGGCAGGAGAATGGCGTAAACTCGGGAGGTGGAGCTTGCAGTGAACCGAGATAGCAATCCACTGCACTCCATCCTGGGTGACAGAGCGAGACTCTGTCTCAAATACATAAATAAATAAAATAATAATAATAATAATAATAATAAAACTGAGGGCTCAGAGAAACCAGGTGACTTACCAGCCATCCAGTCATCCAGCTATGACAGGACCAAGGCCTGAATTCTCCATTCCTGACTTTCCTGACTTCAAAGTTTATTCCCTCCACCCCCAGAACATGACACCTCTCCTGGGAGCTGAATGTAATTAGTGGTGACATTTCAGACTTCCTACGTGTTCAGCGATCAACTAAGTTTTCAGGAAGATACCCACGGTGGAGGAGAGGGAGCCATCCACAGCTCGGTGGTGAAACCTATGTAGCCAGCCCTTCCCCGACTTGGTGTGAGTCCAGCCCTCCAGTGCCTGGCAGGGCCCCTGGCTTCAATGGCAGAGGTGAAGGTGGGAAGGAGCTGCCCTTCCAGGCTTTGCATTCTCTCCATCACTTCCTCCCTTGGCCCCTCCCCTCCTGCACCATCTTCCTGTGGGGGCTCTGGAAAAAAGCCCAGGGCCTCTGACCTGGAAACAAGTGTGGGTGCCACAGTCCCCTGTGAGCATTCCACCCGTCCACCCATGGTTCTGGGGACAGTGGATGTCAGCTCCAGTTGTGGCATTTCAAGGCTCTAAGTAGCAGCCAGCACAGTGTTCTCAGGCCGAGTTACTTCCTCTCTCTGACTACTGCCCTGTTGTCTCTAAAGTACCTGACTCATAGCCGTACTGTGAGGATTAAGTGTGATCATTTACAGAAAACACTTACTACGATGTCTTGTACATGGTAAGTGGCCAATTAATGTTAGTCACTGCTATTATTATTGACATTGGAGTCAGACAGAAGCTGCCTCAGTGACATGGATGCCGTTAGAGCTGCTCATGAATATTCCAGATGCAAGGCAAGGTTGTACTTCCTTGCCCCGCTCTCTTGAGGTTAAGTGAGGCCATCTGCCTTCCTCTGGCCAATGACATGTGAGCAGAGATGTGTGTATTTCTGGGCCATGGCACTTAGCTGCAGTGGGAGACCTCCCAGAGCTCCCTTCCCTCCGATGCGAGGACAGCTGATGGTGAATGATGCCCCTAGTGATGGTCCCAGGAGAGAGCAGAGTCCCCACCGATCCCCAGTTGGCATGGACCATAAGCAAGAAATACATAAACCTTTGTTCTAAGCCACCAAGATTTGGGAGTGGTTTGTTACTATGGCATCACTTCTCATGCTCACTGATAAAGTCGTTTTTTGTGTTTTTCACAGGTACTGAGCACCTACCATGTGCAAGGTGTTTTACATCCATTCTATTATCCCATCTTCACAGAACCCCAATGAAGCGGGTCCTGCTGCTATGTTCTACAAATGGGGTACAGTGGAATGTTTGTTCCCCCCAGAATTCCTGTGTTGAAATCCTAACCTCCAGCGTGGTGGTGTTAGGAGGGGGGGCCTTTGGGAGGTGATTAGGTCATGAGGGTAGGGCCCTCACGAATGGGATTGGAACCCAGAGAGGAGGGGGAGCAGCTAAAGGTTGGTTAATGGATACAAAAGTATAGCTAGACAGGAGGAATAAGCTGTAGTGTTCTCTAGCACTGTAGGGTGACTATAACCAACAACAATCCATCGTATATTTTCAAATAGCTGGAACAGCAAATTTGAAATTGTCCCAACTCAAAGAAATGTTTTAAATGTTTGAGGTGATGGATATGCTAATTACCTTAATTTTCTCAGTAGGAAAAGCTAGGAAACATTAGACCAGGCTGCCTGGATTTCAAGCCCAACTTGTATACATGTAACAAAATATCACAGTGTAACCCATAAATATGTACAATTATCATGTCAATTAAAAATAATAATAAGGCCAGGTGTGGTGGCTCACGCCTGTAATGCCA